TATGTTTGGTTCTTGCTCCCATTTATTTTATAGTTATCTGCTTAGAGGTACTGTTATGCTATTTATTTAGATGTTTATGCTGGTCTGTGACCGTAATAAAGTAAATTCATTCATTCATCAAGACCAAGGATGAGGAGTCTCAGACCTGGAGGCCAAACATATCCCTCCAGACCTCTGTACTTGGTCCTCAGGACTCTTCACGGGCCACACTCTATTCTAAGCCCTACTTTGCACAGTCTTTGAGTATTTTTGCCTGGCTGGAACATGTCCTCAACCTTTGATAATGTGGGAATGTTGAGGGTGGCAGGAGAGGATATACAGTGGTACCTCGGGTTAAGTACTTAATTCGTTCCGGAGGTCCGTACTTAACCTGAAACTGTTCTTAACCTGAAGCACCACTTTAGCTAATGGGGCCTCCCGCTGCCGCCGCGCCGCCGAAACATGATTTCTATTCTCATCCTGAAGCAAAGTTCTTAACCTGAAGCACTATTCCTGGGTTAACGGAGTCTGTAACCTGAAGCATATGTAACCTGAAGCGTATGTAACCCGAGGTACCACTGTATTGTTTATTAATATCCTTCCTAACTTGCGTTAGCAAGTTCCTTTACTTAGCAGAGTTTGCATTCCCCTTTACACAGCAGAAAACTAGTTGCAAACTCGTGTGAGTTTCTTAAGACAATACGCAATTCCATCTGGCTTGTCCAGATTGAAATGTCTTCTAATATTTTCCTGGTAAGACCCCTTGATTCCCTCCTAAAAGAATAAAGACACCACGGTCTTATTCATAAGCAATGAAAAGAAAGTTTACTCACGATTAGGCAGAGCACAGTGTGATCCCTGAAGGCAGACTGAAGGCTTAAAGTTACAAACATGTACAAAAAGGTTTACCCCATAAGGGAGATGACCTGGGGAACTGCTTGGCTGGCAGCCAGCAGTTGATTCCAGGAAGTTTGCAGGATGAAAAGAAGATGGAAAAGAGAGAGAGTGGCAGCATGCTTGTCCTTTTACCAGGTCTGGGAAGGTCATGCCCACCCACTAGTCACATGCAAGGAAGGATGCTCCAGGCCAGGAGGAACAGGAGGTTTTGACTGGCTGGACCAAACATTCCCTTGCATGTCCACTCTAGGAAAACAAGGAATGTTGTATTTGACTGCTCCCAGTGGATTACATCCCACAGATAGTGCCTCTTATCTTCCACCAGGCCTTTGGCCAGGGCAAAGCCTGACTCCCTCCCTCGGCAATCTTCGCGGAGCTCTGGCCCAATGGTTTTCAGTGGCTTGAATTAATTAATTTTATAATGAATGATTTTAGAGTGTTGTTTGTGCTGTACTTTTGTACTGTTTTATTGTTGTTAGCCGCCCTGAGCCCGGCTTCGGCTGGGGAGGGCGGGATATAAATAAAATTTATTATTATTATTTATTATTATTTCTTGTCTGGTTGGAGAACAGGGAAGGGGGCATGAGTGTATGTAGAAACTAGCTTGTTGTACAAGGGTGAAATTCACATTAATGGCTCCACGGCTATGCACACTACTGGTATGTGACCTCCAGAAGGTTGTATGGAATAGAATGCAGTGGAGCCATTTGGCCTGAGGTAGCCACACCTGATTTAGATGCTTTTGTGCATTTGTACAAAATCAGCCTTTAATTTTATTTTTAATTAGAAAGGACAAAAGGGAAATCATGCTAGATGAGCGAAAAAGGCAATAGTGCAACCATGCCCTTAGAGATTGTTTCATCTCCTGTGTTCCATTGCGCTTCTTAAAATGAACTAAGGCTCTGATACTACTCACAATTGCTTAGGAGCAAACCTTGTTGGACGCGGTGGGATGTGTTTCTGAGGAAACATGCGTAAGATTACACAGTGAGAATGCTCTCCACTGCGACTTCGCAGTAAAGGCAACCCCCCCCCATTTATGTGGGGGTTGTGTTCTGAGGCACCGCGCATTAGCATGAGACTCTTCAACTTGGCCTGTCCTGTTCCACCCTTGCCCCACCCCCTTGGGTGCCAAAAATGGTGCATGCGGCCGTGGTCATGCGCATGCCAATTGTTCACAAATGGGGATTTGCCTGTATTTCACAGCATGGCTTTCTTGGTGGTGCTACTCTGTTCTGCGGATGCTCTCTTAGCTGAGAATGTAACAATACGCAAGAATGGACTATTATCAACTTCCACAAAGCCTTCCAGTTTTTCAAAGGATGAGTGAAACCTTTCCTTAAAGCCCATATAGTTTTTGGATGAACTGGTGGCTTAGACGCTGATGATTGTGAATCTCAAGGTGGGTGCATCGCTTTAATAGGCTGTATTGATTTTAGGCTGCTTTTCCATTTTGATGTTTTGATATATTGTAGAGGGTCACGCTTATGGACATGAAGGAAGCAGATGAACCCAATAAATCTATAAATATCAGCCTTCTCCAAAATGTGAGTGTGGCATCACCCCAACAGATCTCCCAGGGAGGCTATAGTATTCAGGCGTCTCCTCTGCATGTGCAGTTTGTCTGTTAGTATCACTTGGCACACTCCATTTTTAGATGTACACATCCATTGTTTTATTCAAAGTTCCTGAGGGCCAGACCGTGTGATTCGGCAGTTTTAGGCGGTGGATGTTGTGGAGGGCCGGGATGGCAGGGGCAGCTTCTGGGCTGTTCTTCCTAACCTCCCACCTCTTCATATTCTTCTGAGCCAGCGCCTCACCAGTGGCACTGTTTGGTGCTGGCCAAGGCTGGCAGCTGTTTCATTCACCGTCTTCTCCCAATGTGTCACAGACAGCACTCTTGGGAATTGCCCCCAATGGACTGAGCAGGTGGAGAGATAGCCAGCTCAGTTCCACATGCTCTAGCGGGCCTTTCAGATAAGCATGCATTGCTTTGCTTAGGCAATGCATGCTGCAACCTTTAAGATGAAGAGGCACTGGATCATTTCTGAGAAAAGCTGGAGCTAAAGCTCAGTCAGTACCAAAGTACTAGTTGAGGCAACTAGTATGAGATCATGTGCTTGAACTCAGATTGCTGCTCCTCATAGAAATAACGTTAAGTAGCAAATTGCCTTTTTGTGTGTGTGTTCTTCCTCCCTTCAAAGCAGTGACCAGCATACATGCCCCTTTCAATGCAGTGACCAGTATACATGCCTTACAAATATCGAAGACATGCGAGCAGGATGCTGATGTATGGAACAGTGCAAGTGAGGTAAAGGGACCCCTGACCCATGTAGCGTCACAGCCAGTGCAGCGCCCGACACAGTGGGGTTGTAGGGCGCACAATGTGCCTCACTCTCTATTGGCCGCAGGGAGCCGGCGATAGGTGTCAAGAGTCATGTGGCCAGCATGACTAAGCCGCTTCTGGCGAACCAGAGCAGCGCACGGATGCACGCTGCTTACTCTTCCCGCCGGAGTGGTACCTAGTTATCTAGCTGTGCACTTTGTCAGTGCTTCCGAACTGCTAGGTTAGGCCGGCAGCAGGGATCGAGTGCTGAAACTGTGCTGCTCTAGACTTGCGCCGCTATGTGTGCTTTGAACCAGCCGACCTTCTGATCGTGCAACTCTTAGGCTCTGTGGTTTAAACCACACAGCGCTAGGATCCATGTATGGAAAGGCAAGTAGAGAGTCATTATCAGGCCAATCTATTGGGGGGATGTTGTGGGGTTGTTGCTGGCTAAGCTGCTGAATGTGTAGGTCAGGGGTGAGAAACGTGGCCCTCCCCTCCAGAAGTTGCTGGACTCCAACTCCCATCAGCCCCAGCTGGTATGGTCAGGGATGATGTGAGTTGTAGTCCAATAACATCTGGAGGGCCCTGGTACAGGAGTACAACCAACTGACCATTTGGGACTGATAGTACATTTGATCCCGTTGGTGCAGAGCAAATCGTCGGGTGGGTGTGTGCGTGAGTGAGTGTGAGTGAGAGACAGCGAGAGAGATATGAAGCCGCCATACTGAGCCAGACCATTTGTCCCTCCACCTCTGTATTGTCTACACTAGTGTCTCCCAAACTTGGGTCTCCAGCTGTTTTCAGGCTACAATTCCCATCATCCCTGACCATTGGTCTTGCTAGCTAGGGGTGATGGGAGTTGTAGTCCAAAAACAGACAGAGACCCAAGTTTGGGAAACACTGGTCTACACTAACTGGCAGCAGCTCTCCTGGGTTTCAGACAGGTCTCTTTCCCAGCCCTGCCAAGAGATGCTGGAAGGTTGAGCCTGGGACCTTCTGCATTCAAAGCAGATGCTCTACCAATGGTCCTTCCCTGAATAGGTTTCAGGAAGCTCATCCAGGTAAAGGGAAACGGCTCAAACAGCCCTAGACAGGAGTCATGGCAGGGATGATGCAAATACCCACAACCTTGCACTCCCAAAGCGAACCCAACATATCCGATATTGAAGACCCAACATATCCCAAGCAGGTTTGTGAATATTGTTTTCAGATCCAGGAAACCCAAAAGCTCAGTGGTTTAATTATGCAAACTGTTTCACAATTAAGCTGGCTGCACATGCGTTCTGCAGCCGGCAACAGTGATTCAGATCGTCATTAATTTATACATTTGTCTGTGCTTCTGGTGGGGGAACATGTTCCCCAAGCAACTGGGCAACAATGATTCAGCTGTATGCTGCTGCCTGTGTTTTTTTGGAATGGGGAACAAGATGTGCAACCGCAGAGAACAGTAGCAAAGTGATGCTCACCATTATTTGGGTCAACTTTTTGAAAATCGCATTATCCGCTTGCGCAGGTGACTGTACCAAATGTGGAAGGGCTGAAATATACATGAAAGCAGAGTGACACAGAGTCCTAACCCAGCATGCCTCCTTCTACCTGGCCAGGCTATTTGTCCATCTAGCTCAGCATTGTGTTCTGTGGCTGGTGGTCAGGCATGGCCAAACTTGGCCCTCCAGCTGTTTTGGGACTACAATTCCCATAATGCCTCACCACTGGTCCTGTTAGCTAGGGATGATGGGAGTTATAGTCCCAAAACAGTTGGAGGGACAGTTTGGCCATGCCTGCTCTAAGGCCTGCTCTGTAGCTCAATGGTAGAGCCCATTCTTCGCCTGCGGAAGGTCACAGGTTCGATCCCTGGGATCTCCAGATAAAACTGGGAAAGACTTCTACCTGAAAACACTACAGGGCAGAGGTGGCTTACTTGTGGTGCTCTGCATGTTGCTGGACTACAACTCCCATCATCCAGTTGGCTACACTGGCAGTGGAATCCCCAAACAAGTGGAGAGCTGCAGGTTAGCCACCTTTCCTGTAGAGTCAAAGCTAGTTAGTGTAGATAGTACCAAACCAGGTGGACCAATGGTGTTATTCCGTATAAGGCAGCTTCCTTTGTCACTAGGATGGTGTGTGATTAGTGATGGCACAGGCACTACCCAATAGGTGCTTATGGTAGATAGTGTCCCATGCTCCTATGTCTTTCACATAATCTCCTGTTTCTTTTAACCGCTAGGTGCTAGAGATTGAACTCAGACCTTTAGTAGGCAATGCATGTGCTCTACCATTGAACCTATGAGCTTGGATTTCTGTACGCAGGGGGTCATTTTTAAGGGTAGCTGAGAGGCAAGTATAAAACGAAGCACTATCTTTTAGGACAGGGGTGGGGAACTTGCAATGCTCCAAAAGTTGCTGGACTACCGGAAATGTCTTGCTTGGCCATATTTCTCAGCTCTTGGTTCTCTGGAAAAGAAGTGGAAACTGACCGGGTAGGGAAAGAGAAGAGGAAGTTCTTAGAAAACTATTGATCGAATTGCAAACACTTGCCAACAGTGGCAGATATTATCATCAGTTGTCTTTATTCATTAGTGTAGAAATATAGACCTGGCCATGTTGGATCGAAATTTTACATTACCGACAAATGTCTGCCAGACAGAGTGGTTGATGTATGCATTAATGCTGTAGCTTGGAGAAATATCCATTGACTGGTGAAATGCCCATGAAATGCAGATGTGCATTTGGGCCAGAGCTGAGTGGATGGCAAGTCCTGATGGCTGCCCCCTTCTGTGTGGTTGCATTTACTGTTGAATGGGAAGACACAAGAGAAATTCATAAAGGCGCCAAAATCTATTGAAGCCAACATACATACATACATACATTGAATTTATATACCACCCTATACCCAGAAGTCTCATGGCTCAGAAATACAATGCCTTTATCGAGAAGCAGTTTAAAGCACATTAGAATTGTAGAGTTGAAGCGGACCCTGAGGTCCAACCCTCTGCGATGCAGGAATCTCAACAAAGGCATCAATGACAGATGGCCATCCAACCTCTGCTTAAAAACCTTTATGGGAGTCTGTTCCACTGTCAAACAGTACTGTACTTAACAGTCAGAAAGTTCTTCCTGATGTTTAGTTGGAATCTCCTTTCTTGTAACCTGAATCCTTTGGTTTGGGTCCTAGCCTCCAGAGGAGGAGAAAACCAGCTTGTTCCATGTGTGGTCAGCTTGGAAGCATGATGAAGAAAGAGGAGGCTGCCTAGGAAGGGGGGAAGTATGTAGTGTTACAGCTTCCTGCCAAGGAAGTGAGATCACAGAATTCTCTCTAGCAAATTTTACATGAAAGCTCTGTGAACCTCAGCCCCTTCATGTGCCTGTCTGGCAAAACATGAATTGTTGGTTTGACTGCAATAATGCCCTAGGGAAACTGGGTGATAATTATCCAATATGGTGGGATTCAGTGAGGGCTTTTTCAATGGAGATCAAACTTAAAAAAATCCATGCACTATGAAGATAACACCTTTAAAAACAACCCTTTTTTAAAAAAAATAATGACTAATCACTTCTGAAATATACTCAGAGTTGAGTGTGGATTTCATGCTCTTTATTCAGCTCATAGTGGTGAGGAGGAATGGAAGTTCTCCCACAATATCTGCTTTATATATATTATTTACACAATGGGCTGCACGTGATTGGCTAATTCCGGGATTCTCCTGTAGGCCAATCAGGTTTTGGATTCACTTCCACCTGGAGCTGGATTGGGTGGCTCCTGTGGACCAATCATACTGTTTCATTGTTCTAGGACCAATCAGACTGCTGAATTTTGGATCCTATTCAACTCAGTACATAACAACTTCCCTAATTCAGGTTTTGTTTTTTAAGGTAGATGTGGCCTTTATCCAAGGTGAAAGAGTACAGGTTACCCAATTATAGTCTATTGTTTCCTGCTCAGTTCTCAGGCAGCACAACCCACCCCCATGCTAGAAAAGCATTTCAGGAGGAGATGGTAAGCAGACTGGCTCATAGAGTTCTGAGACTTGGTTGTTGTTATTATAAGTCACGTAAGACTTACAGGGATATTTGTTTGTGCATGTTCTGTTCCTTAGTGGATGGTGTGAGCTGTTAATTTAGAGCAGAGGTTCATTGGGGATGTGAGGTTACGTTCTTAGACGGGTTGGCAGGGCAGGGATTTGGGGAAAAGAAGGCACACCAGTCCAAAAACTAGGTGAGATGCCCTTTGTGCAATTAACACTTACAAGAATAGTTTTTTGTGAAAGTCAATAGGACCCCGGCATAGGAGAAGGCTTCCCCACCCCCTCGCACTGGGGTCCCAGTTCAGACTGGACACCTGCTATTTTGGCATTGGAAGAAGAGCTTTCATTGACACAAATGGGACCTTTGCTCCCCAATGCAAATTGGAAGCAATCCTCGTTGGGATTGCAGTGGCAGCAAAGGGTCAATGCCCCTCCAGATCCCTTGCCGAGGTGCTAATCCAGATGGGGTCCCCATAGGCCTGCTGTTTGCTGCAGAAAAGCTATACATGTGATTGTGAATGGCACGAATGATGCCTGGCCCTTTTTCTGCCAGTGTGAATAGTTTTAAGGTCTTTTCCAGACAACCTCTTTATTGTACATTCACCATGATTTGTTACAGAAAGTTTGTACAGGCGATATACTTTATTGAGAATGCATTCTGTTTTGTTTGCAGAAGGTATGCGACAGCCAATGCAGATTATTTATCCGGATTTGTTTATGCAGGTGTTAGTATCATAGAATTGTAGAGTTGGAGGAGACCCCAAAGCAGGAATCACAGCTAAATAATCCCTGACAGATGGTCATCCAGCCTCTGTTTAAAAACTTCCAAGGAAGGAAAGTCTATCAACTTCCAAGGTCGTCCAAACCACCGCTGAACACTTCCTAAAGTTTCTCCTTTCTTGTAATTTAAATCCATTGGTTCAGATCCTACTTTCTGTCAATTGATGGTTATCCCACACTTCCTACATGTCCCCATCACTTTACAACCACAGCAGATACATATCATATTCACTGGACTGATTTCTCTTCAGACATGGGATAAATAAGCAAACATGGGCAACCTCCGCAATTAATTTACGTCAAAATTCCCCATCATCTCTACTTGCCATTTTATTTTTAAAAATGACACTTCATTGGATTTTCTGGCTTCAACTGGAAGGGTTGGTGTTGACTTAAAGCACACCCACACACTGCAATACAATTTGGGACCAAGGCATCCAATGGACTTTCGGCTCCCATATGGTCTTGCTCACCCTGTAAGACAGTGGATTCTCTGGGCCACACTTTAAGAAGAGTAACTTGCTTGTGCCGCACCATTTTTTTCATTTATAAGAAATACATTGGGAAACAAAAAGAAACAGCTGCTAGCAGCGCACCTGCTTTATAATATGATCACGGGACGTCCAGAAAGTATAAAACAATCCAGCTACAGAGGAACACGAATCGTTCCCAAAATATAATTATAAATGAGCCTCTTGCATGTTCACTTTAAGTATGTATGCAAAGTCAGTGAGTTTGATTGTCATTGAATTTCTCACCATCCTTTCCTGCCACACCCTTCGGGAACCACAGCATGTAAGATCTTTTGCTGTACGACCTTCTCTGGGTGCCTCAGCTTTCTGGCGTGAGGTGGATGGGTGTCCCGAGATGGAGCCTTTTTTGTTGCCCCCTCCCTCCCCATTGCAGAACACTCTCCCCAGGGCCATCTTTCTCTTGCCTGCCTCCAGTCTTGTAGCCGTCGGATAAAAACAGGATTGTTCTCCAAAGCTTTTGCTTGGCCCCCTTTTCTATAAACGTGTAGGGTGCCCTTCTGTCAGAGACTGCTAGAGAGGCTCTCACATAAAAAATAATAATAAAATACAATAATAATAAAAATACGGATACCAAACTAGATATTGAATTTAGCAATTTTGTGTCGCTTTGTTGTCAGGGCCTGTGCTTTCACTGCAGACATTTTTGCTTTCTTTTTGTGCCAGCAAATGATTCCCCCTCCCCTATTTTTCTTTCTTATTCTTTGACTGCTGGCTTTATTGCCATTTCAGTATTATTTTCCTTTTGCTGTGAGTTGGCTGTTTTAAGCTTGTTGTCAACCTCCTTGTAAACAGAGTTGAAAAGTGGAATATAACTATTTTAAATAGACGAGAAGGACCCAGATTCCATAGTAGCAGCGCCCTTTGGGGAGGACACAGGGGCAATCATCCCACCTCCTGTTTTTTCCGATTGCATGCAGTTATCCCTCTGTTCCTTTCAAGATACTGGCCTCCATCACATCCACTCCTTCAATTTGGAGCTCGTAGCTTCCCAAAAGAACCCTGGGAACTGTAGTTCACTCCTTGCAGAGTTACAATTCCCAACACCCCTAGCAAATGATCCTTTGGGGATGCCATGCCTAGCCCTGACCTTGCAAGAACATAAGAAGAGCCCTGCTGGATCAGGCCAATGGCCCATCTAGTCCAGTATCCTGTTCTCACAGTGGCCAATCAAATGCTTGTGGGAAGCCCACAATCAGGATTCTCGCCTCCTGTGCTTTCCAGCAACTGGCTGTCACTGGAGCATGCCGGAGCTAAAGTAGAAGTTAACTCTTATTAGCAAAAACACCCTCTCCAGTGTCAGGCTTAATGAGCACAGCAGCTAATTCCCAGTGGTCTTCCTCCCTGCAAATCGGTTGCTGAGACTGAAAGTCCCCACCTCCTCACAGCCGTCTTCCAAGCTTCTTCCAAGCAATCAGAGACTGCGCCGGCATACAACCAACCTCTGCCTTGCCCTTTTCATGCCTCTTCTGTTTCTGGGAGGGGAGCTTCGTTGCAGCAGGAAGGGGAAAACCCATAACTTCATCAGCCT